GTCAGCGATTCCAATGTGTGGGATAATCTTGTAATTTTCGTGCACGCTTTTGTGTATACACTGTATACGTTTGGTTTGTCTGTCGTGTTTCTCTGAAATTGCATCGTAGCATGATTGGATGATAGTACGCTTGACAAAAGATTCAATGAAATAATGAATATTTCTTTTTGCAAGCTTGAAAAACCTGAAAATTTATTGTCATATGTGAAAATTTACCTCCCAATAGGGACTTACCTTTTTCCCCTACACCATCATAGGTAGCATGTATCCAAGTGGGATATTCGAGAGGATGCGATCAAATGTACTTTTTCGGATATTTGTTTTTATAAGGCTAGTTGCGCTATTGTTTTACATATCAACAGAGTCCAAATAAATAAATTGTATATATATCGTCAAATAGAACTATCCGGTAAACCGTAGGCAGAGAGGAATAAGAGGACAACAAAAACGAGGGGCTGTGACAAACTGTTTCGTCAGAGTTTTACCGACTCATATATACATATATATATATTCACATAAATCATTGTTCTAAAATTCACTCCAGCTACTTTTGCTATGGGTTCGCCATATTAAAAATTATTTCTCCCCCGTATTTTAAGTTTTTGCATACAACAAGTTGCGGTCCTTCCCTGAGTTATCATTGCTAAGACATGGTCACTTACCTTGCCCTCTAACTTTATGCGGGAGAATCACTACCATCAACAATGTATAATCTATAGACCATATAAACAATAGATACATGAGGAATCTGGGGAAATAAATATTCACTCAAGAATGATCCAGATACCCAACTTTGTGTAATATATGAGCGTGACATCGTTGATCATTATGGTCATGCCAATATTCACATAACATTTCAATGCAACGAGGAAAAGGGGATGATAATGAAATTCGCAACACTTAACGTCGATGATGTCATCTTCATATCCTGCGGGTCTTCTTTATTATAGATCGACATCATGTTTTTAATTGATCAGTTTATAAACAAGGCACGTACATTCTCTCGATATATGTCATTTTTGTTCGGATAATTTGCATTTTAAGTTTTTTTAATTTGGATGCATCAGTTTTTTACGTTTTTATCTAATAATTTATATTTTATTAACAACAACCTTCTTTTTTTTATTTTTTGTCTTACATGATGCCTAGACTCTAGGGAAGTCAATACATGGAGATTCCGCTTCTAATTTAAATTTTTAGCCCCCACATATAAAATGATTGGCAAACCCCTTTTAGGTTTGCCCCTACTTATGACCGATAAGCAGCGTTGAGGGTTATTTTGTCTATACCATGTCTCATTGAATCCAAAGGTTTTATATTGCACCACTGCTAATATCCATAACACAAAAATCATGACCATCATTGTACCAAACCATAAATATAACTTATATACATCCATAATTAAGATGTGTTTGTACTATGGGGAAGACAGTAATGGCAGCATCACATGAGGGTCAGACCTTCGGGTTTTTCAAAGGCTCTGCACAAAACACTGTAACCGAATTTTTTTTCTGGTTGACAAATTTTGAGTAGCATCTCTATACACATTGTTGATATCTAACATAGGTATTGTTGCACCGATACCCTAGCAAAATCATTTCTACATCCGAAATTAAGTCTTTGGTTTTAAATAACGTTTTACACAACACATTGCAATTCGCAACCTTTAGGCAATTTGACTATTTTTTTTTTAGCAAAAGACCAACAAAATTACAGGGCATTTCCTTCAAAAGACAAACAAAGTTGTGGATTGGGATTGAGGCTAAGGAAACCACATATAGTTTCATCAAATCACTAGTGCAGGTTTATACTAAGGGTTGGTATGTCGTTGTCGTGGATAACTATTTTTTTTTCCCCTCTCTTAAAGTTCTTAGTCACTCGTCACACGACACATTAACATTAAAGAGATTAAAAAAAAAAAAAAAAAAAGAAGTTTTTAGGGTTGCACTTCTTGCGTCACCGCAGTTATAATCAAGGGTATATAAATGCACAATTAGAAGAGGAAGAGATAAAAGCAAGAGGCAAAAACGACATCATGATGGGATCATGAACTTGACTAGCCGAAGTGAAATTGTTACTAGTTGACCTCAACAACTTTTAGAAATTATTATTTTATAAACCAATTATAAGGAAGTCTTGTATGCTAGCATTGTTATACCTTTGACGATATTATGATAGGTCATATCAGTAGCTTCACAAAATTGCACAATATTTTGACCATTTGATCATCACAAGGTTTATGTATACATCTATCGTTTGTACCCCCTCTCCTTGCGGCATCCATCCCCATGGACGATGCTAATTGCATGTATTTTAACATAAATGTGAGGGGGGTGCAAAAAAACTATGAATATTATGCAGCTTGCATTTCTCCCTGCCTTCTATCTATGCTGTGAGTTTTCGTATATTTTGTACAATATCATCGACAACCACTGTCTTCCTTATTGTTCGATTCTCCCCCTTCGAGTTGGTTATGGTATGACCCTACTAGATCATTATTTCTATGTTAATCCCATACAATATTTCCCTCAATAGAACATTAACCAAAAAGACAATTATCTAATCAAACTATCAAAGACAACATAAAAAATTCAGTTTAGCTGAAGATTTTTCATTTATAAAATTATCCAATTATTACATGTTAATGTGCATGCTAATTAATGAACCACTTTTAGAACACATGGTGTGTATTCGAATCAACTGATGATGAGCTATGTTAAACAATATCGAAGGTTGAATGTTTTTGATATATTTACATCATTTACCGATTTGTTTTGCATAGCTTCTCCTTGTAGAACACTCTCTTCATGTAGCTTTGTTATTAAACCTCGTATGATCCGACACTAATTGATATAAGTTTAACTTGCATCTTCATCCATTTTGCCTAAAATCCTCAACACTAGGAAAATAATTCCCAATGAAGGTCAATATCTATTCATCGTCATTGTGAGTCAAAAATTAAGTTTTATTTTTGTTCACCATTGCCAAGGGGCAATGTTTTTCAATGGTATGTTATCGTGATACATTTTCATTATTGTCTTACTTCCTCATGAAGTTGCCCATAAAAAAACGTTTAATTAAAATCCTTAAAACACCTAAGAGATATAAATGTTCAGATGATGTTGCACATTGACAAACATAGAGATTACGTGCGATATTTTTATGAAATTGATAATCATATAGAATTTTAAATCTAATTGGTTAACCCATACAATTTTTATTTTCTTTTAAGGGACCGCCTTCTCGTCTCCAATTTAGCCCCATTAAGCAATTGTATAAAAAAAAAAGATGAAATTAGGCGCGATCATGGTTTAAGTTTCTAAATACATTTCAAACTGCCGTTTTGGATTTCAGTCTCATATGAAGTTTATAATGCAGTTCAAATTCCTCCTTGTTGAAAAGTCGCAGGGCGGAGTTTGTAACTGCAGTCTACTACATCCACGTCAAGGGCCCCGTTAGAGCCCCTGATACAAGGCAAAATCGTTTTCCAAAAAAAAAATAAAAAAAATCATGGTGCTGTACCTTTCCATGTTCTAGCAGAAGATTCACTATCGTTTTGCACATTTCAAGAGTAGTGGAGGGAGCCATTTACAAACTCCTTTAGTGACTGCGTCCTAGTTAAAAAAAAAAAGAAAAAAAAAGAACAAAGAAAAAAAAAATCAAGAGAAATAAGGCAAACGATACAAAGGTTTAAATATTTTTATTTATCATCTTACAACAACTGAATGGAATACCGCCATCGGGATGTCTATATTTCGAACAGGGACATAAGTAAAATATAAACGAATGAATGTATTTATCATGTGGATGTGACCCTTGGTAACAACTTCGCTCAAAAATATCCTTCTCATGTTTGTAGGATGTAAGTTATCATGTAACATTTGGCAACAACTTCATTGATAGCCACATAACATTGCATATTGCAAGATTCCCTATTCTTCCAGATTCTAGCATCAAAAGATAATATTGTGTAAGACAATTTAAAAATTGTGATAACTAGAATAGGGGAAAGGTTGAAATATGTTTCTTAAATTACTTTGTAAAGAAGACAAGTAACTTAATCAAACACGTAGCACACTGAGGTTGGGGAGAAAATGGATTCGAGTACCACCAGCACCTTTGGCCAACATTTTTACCCTGCATGCCTAAAAAAATGAAGTGGCGCAGGCCTCCTTTTGGCTGACGCCGCGAGCCATTTTGCTTCGGTAGCACACTCCTCGAACGTGCCAGAGACAAATAGCTGGGCAAGGTACTGGTGGTACTCAAATCGATTTTATTCTATCTTCATCACCCCAATTCAAACGCAAAGCCACGAGCCAACCCCTTCCCCAGCCCCCCTTCACTCCTATTTGTATAACGAATAGTTTTTTCCACCCCTGGAGCACTGATAGTCCTCTGGATACCCCTGATCGGTATTAGCGGGGTCTATGACCAACACGGTTGTGAGTGTGAGCGCGAGTGGGTTGTGTGTGTTGTGTGGGAGAGTGTTGGCCATAGCCTCTGCTGCTACTCGATGAAGGGTGGGGGACGATGAGAAAGGGAGGCAAAGCTACTGGCAGGTCTCGGTCTTTGTGTTAGCCAGACCCCCACTGGCGGCCCCAACCCTATACCCTAACCATTAGGGGCAAGGGGCAACATGAAATCTCCCCTTCACAGAGAGAGGAAAACTATGCTTGCAGGGGTCCCCTCTAGATAGTCTTAGGAGTAGGTAGTGGAAGGTAAAAGAAACAGAAGTTGAGAGAAGAATATARAAAGAAAAAAAAAGGAGAAAAAAAAAAAAAAAAAAACTGAGCCTCGGAATCATCTCAAGGGAACACCTGCCTCGTTCCAAATACTGCTTGGTGCACCTTTTGGGTTGGGCAAGTGGCCACTAGCCGTTGCCTACCTTTCTTTTGCCGCCTTCAAGCCAGGCCACCTGCTGCACAGGGGGAAAGGAGGGTGCGGCTTCCAGCAGCCGGGATGCGTGCGACAAATCGATGCCGCACGTCGCACGTCGCGCGTCGCTCGTCGCTGGTCGCTGGGGCCTGCCCTACTGTACTCCCGCCGTCGCCCAGCGTAGTACCCCGTGCTGCACCGCCTGCTCTCCACACGATATGTGCGATCGCCACGTCACGCCGCACAGCAGGGAGCGGAGCGGCGGAGAGTCGGCTAGGGTGGCGTAGCAGGGTGAGTCCACCGGCTCCTCTGTTCGCCCCCCTTTTCTATTCCCCTCCCCTCCCCCCCCGCCCCGCCCCGTCCCGACGTGTCCCCACCGCCCCTCATCCGTTCTCCTCTTCATTTTTTTTTATTTTTATTTTTCTCCTCTTCATTTTCTCTCGTGTCTTATGCATTATTGATCATTGATTACGTGGTCCTGTTTTCACTATTCACTATTCTTTCCCTCCCTAATCTCCATCCACGTCCGTTGTCTCTCTTCTTTCACTCAGCTCCCCTGTCCCAGTTCTTTTTTTTTTCCCCTTCCCCTTGTCCCACCTCTTTCTTTTCCTGTTTCTCTCTTTTTTTTTTTCCCCCCTTTTCCTTCTCCTTCACGTCCTCCATATCTACTTCGTTGTATCTCCTCGCTGTCTTCCTCCTCACCAATAGTGGGGCCTCGCCCACGATGTGGCATAGCCTTCGGATACAGCTTCGCTATTGTTTTCCCCTTCCCCCCCCTTCTCCCCCCCCCCCCCTCCCTCCCCCTCCCCCCTCCTTCAGTCCTGCGCAAAACGTTTTCCTCTCCTCCTCCTCCTCCTCCTCCTCCTCTTCTTCTTCTTCTTCTTCTTCTTCTTCTTCTTCCTCCTCCTCCTCCTCCCCTCTCCTCCCCTCCCCTCCTCTTTCTTCTGTTTCGTCCTGGGCAATGTGCGCGTTTCTCTGAGCTCAGTGCATGCGGTTGTGTAAGGAATACGGAAGAAATAGGGAAAGGCGAAGCGATGGTGAGGATGGAGTTCGCCTTCGTGCAAAGCGATGACGTCAAGACAAAATGGAGAATAAACCCTGCGCGTTCGAAACCCGCGCACCGGCTTCCGTTGACAATGCAAACAAGGAAAGAAGAAGAAACACCCGCAATCCGAAAAACACAAGAAAGGAAACGAGTTGAGGATGATGGTGATGATGATGGCCATACTAGTAATGAGATGAGGGTGAGAAGGGACAGGGAGGGGAGCTCTCACATGCGTTCGGACATGCCATTGAATCTTCAAGACACACACACACACACACACACACACACACACACACACACACGCACACACTCCGACGAAAGAGTGTGGCACAGCCATGCTGTTTTTTGGTGGAGCTGTGTATAGCGAACATGACAACACATTGACACACACACACACACACGCACACACACACACACTTAACCTCCTGATGAGTCGGTGAAAGTCTTTCTGTGGAGTTATGTATTGCGAACATGACAACACACACACACACACACACACACACACACACACACACACACACACACACACGTGCTTAGAAAAATGAATGCAGGCAGATCGAGTCGTGCGCTCTCGTGCTCGCGCGAAGGACAACACATGCGACCGCGCAGGTGTGCGCATACCATGTGTGTGTGTGTGTGTGTGTGTGTGAGAGAGAGAGAGAGAGAGAGAGAGAGAGAGAGAGAGAGAGAGAGAGAGAGAGGTCCGTGGAAATTTCGCTTGTGATCTCGGGTCGAATTCTTTGTGTTATGCCCTGTCAGGCCGGTGCACAAATTTGCAATTTGGACTGCATCGTACCGGGACATTTTGCAAAGTTGGACGAATCGATCCCGTTTAGGGGTATATTGCTACGATTGGCGGTCCAACCAACGTCAGGGGTACTTCACAAAAGTTTTTTTTTTTGTCAGAGGGGCATTCCGCTCTATGCAGTGTATTCACATCTCTTAGGGGCATTTTGGCATATATCTCAAGTTATGGGGGTATTTTGCAAATTATCCCCAAAATATTTTGGGAAGATTCAATAAAACTTAAAAAAAAAACAAATAAGGACACTCACCCATCTTCTTCTTCTTCTTCTTCTTTGTTTGCTTCATTGCTGGTGACCCACTTACCAGGGTCGTAAGAGCATCCCCCTTAAACCGCCAGTACTTGGCCCATACATAGGCAGCACCCCCCCCAGCCCAAGTTCCGGAGGCCCGAAACGCGACACGGGCCATCAGTGAAATGGATCGACGGCCCATGCTGGCTCCGAACCTGGCATGCTATTTTTCTTTGGCTGGGCCAAGTACTGGTGGTTTAAGTGGGCCTGCGTGGAACCCCCCCCCATCCATTGGTGGGGGACAACACCTGCTGTAAAGTGGGTCCAGCATCCAAGTTTTTTTTTTTTTTTTTTTTTTTTTTTT